CACAACAGCTCCCAATAGCAGTATGTGTTCAGTGCTTCTGCTCTCCACTTGCCACCCTGCCTGTAGCACTTTTCTGGCTATTCTCCACTGGGGCAGTAGTAAAGAGGGGCGTCTAATTCAGAAAGGGCTAGGTTCAAGCCTGGCAATGGACACACACATTGGCTCAATAAGGACAATAAAAGCAGCGTGCTGAGAGGCAGTACTGCATAATGGATAGCAAGCCAGCCTCAAAGCCAAGAAGATTCAGGTTCAAGTCTTCCCTCTGCAAGTTACTGCCTCTCTGCAAAGAAGGTGCAGGCCTGTATCGGTAGAGTTTCCCCACCAGGGAGTTTCCTAAACCGCTGAAACCAAAGGTCCAGTGCCTGTAGCTATGTATTTGCTGACATCTGGGGGCTGAAGAATCTGGGTTCTATGATACCCCTACTTGGCTCTGTGGATAGAGCACAAGGCATCAGCAGGTGGAGTCAGCAAGATCTGGAGGTCTCCAGGAGGCCAGGAATTCAAATACACCCCCAAAATACCCAAACTGTTTGCCTCGGTTTCCTCATCTGTAAAATGGGGATAAACAGCACCTATCTCCCGTGAGGATCAAATGAGATAATATCTGTAAAAAGTTCTTAGCACAGTGCTTGGCACACAGGAGGTGCTATATACATGTTAGCTAGTGCTATTATTAAGTTAGGTAATAATTGTTAATTACTATTATTCGACACGGCTATGTTACTGCCCTGCGCTGTGACCTTGGGTAAGTCACTGGCTCTCACTAAGCGTCAATTTTCCTGCTCTGGCTCTAAGTCCCTCCAGGCGCTCCAGCCTCCCCAGCCCCCGCTACATCCCTCTCCCTCCGCCTCCTTCCCCTCCCCCCAGCCTCGTTTCTCCCCCGCCCTCCCCCCCCCCAAGCCTCCGTGACCCACGGATACAAATGGCCAACACCAGGGCCCCGATGCTCAGGCCGGTCAGGATGTTCCGGCCCCGCCGCTGCGGAAGCGTTTTCTGCCACTGGGAGAGCTCCACCTGCCGCATGAAACGCAGCTGGGCCGGGCTCAGCTTCTCTCGCGCCGGATCAATGCGCTGCGCTACCGGGGCCTTCCCGGCCTCGGATCCCGCCGCTCCGCTCGCACTAGTATCAGCCATCTCACTCCTCGAGCTACTCAAGACCGGCTCACAGCCCTGGCGCACGGCAGGAAGGACGCCTCTTGGCCGTCGCCGCCGCTGAGGATTCTGGTACTTGTAGTCTGACCGGCCTTTCCTTCGGAAGGGGGCGGAGTGTCCCGGGAGCGCCCTCTGATTGGCCGAAGCTTCCTCGGCGCACGCGAGCTCGGCGGTTGAGACCTAGAAAGACCGTTGGGAGCACGAGGCTGCGCAAAGGCTGCGAAGGTTCTGAGAGCCAGTGTGGGTTTTGCGTTGTCGGGAGGGTCGGAGGGCCAGCTGACTATGGCCGGGGCCGTAGGGCCCAGCGGGTCGGCCGCCCTCAGCGACTTTAAGTTTGGCGCTGTGGACACGCAGACGATCGAAGACGCCCTGCTCCACCTGGCCCAGGAGAATGAGAAGGCAGTTCGGGAAGCCCGGGGGCAGGCGGGCAGCTTCAGGGAGACCCGGATCGTGGGTGTGGGCCCAGGGCTTGGGGAGCGTGGGGTCTGTTCTGCACCAGGGGCACCTAAAGCCCCCACCCCTACAGTTTCCTCACCCACTCGGAGCTCATCTCCCTTCTCCTCTCCCTCCCCCCCGACCCCCCACCCCCCACTCCAGTCCCCTGGTAAATCAGAGGAAAACTGAAGCCATTGCCCGGATCATTCAGGCCTCAAAGCAAACAAGAAATAACCCTAGCATTTTATTTTGGCTTCAGTTATCTCATGTCTAAATTACCAAGGTCCAGTCAAGTCAAGATGCATTTATTAAGTGTGTACTATAGGCCAGGCACTGTGCTAAGTATTGGAGATACAGGCAAAAATGAATTAACTTAGTTCTCCACTTTGTCAGTAGAATTGTGTGAGGGGTGGGGGTAGGGCTTTCTGTGTGCCTGCGAGGATATTTTACACAGGTGTGTTTATATGCAACATCAAGAGGGTTGTGGGCCTGTCTTGGATCCGCAGCAGCACATAGCCAACAGAGACTTAAGTTTCAGTGAAGAGAGGGGGTTTGGCTGCCTGTACAGTTCTCTCCACGTATCTGACCATCTGCAATGCCCTGCTGATGGTGTTTTATGTAAAACCCAAGGGTCTTGGAGAGCTCTGCTGAGAACTGAGATTTACCCTGGTTCCCACCTTCTGATGGAATTGGAAACCAAATAATTCCAACTGGGACTATTTTTTCAAAGGGAAATACTGGAGGCAGTTAGGGCTTGTCCTTCCCACCTTCCTAGTGATATTTTCAAAATCTGCCTATACCCTACCAAAAAAGGGGGGGGCATGGAATTAAAGTCACCATAGCCCCATTTAACAGACAAGAGGAATTATGGTCACTTTAAGGTGCACGGTGGTGTTAAGCTAGGCATAGGAAATCTCCAGAGGAAGGTTGCTAAGCTGGACGGTGTCATCAACAATATTCAAGTTCCAGGAAGTTGTTTTTATGTTTCATGTTAAACTTTATAGGAATTAGGATTTTTAATCTATTCAAGAATCTCCCTGTAATCAGGAACATGAGCAGGTAGTTAGGGGGCAGGAAAGGGGGGTGTTTTGGTACCAGGCAAGAACTCTTATCTGCTGAACCCTTCAGGAGTAAGAGTGACCAAGGAGCTTGGTAAGCCCTTGTTCTTGGCACTCAATTGGACTTCCCTTTTTGCCTCTGATCAGCTTGTTGGCAGCAGAAGAAATTAGGCTCAGTTAGTTATTCTAGTCTCATCTTTCTCACCTCCTGACCCTCTTTCGTGGGTCGAATCGTGGTTTTTACACAACACCAAGAGTTCAGAGTGGTTAGGGTTGCATCTTGTGATTCAGGCTTTTCTTTTCTATTTTGGCAGAGTTCGTTTTTCTCCTGTCTGAACAATGGTGCTTGGAAAAATCCGTGAGCTACCAGGCAGTAGAAATCCTAGAAAGGTAAAGTCCTGGGCATGAGGCCTTTGCAAATAGGTAGCTCTCAGATTAATGTGCTCACTCCTGTTGAAATGGTACCAGTCACCTCTTACCTTGGCATTGCTCTTGATATCCTTACTTGCAAGTGTAACCAAGTCTTAAATTGATATTGGAGAGGCTAAGATGTAGCAACATTTGAAGAACAAATGCTCCCTCTGGAATGTGTGGAAGTCCAGATTGTTTATTTCTGACCCACCCCACCCCCTCCTGTAGGTTCATGGTTAAGCAAGCAGAAAGCATCTGCAGCCAAGCAGCACCTGTGGTGAGAGAGAGTGAGAAAGCAGAGCCCTGGAGCTGGAGGGCCCAGAAAGAAGAGCTCTGCAGTACGTTTGTACTTCGACTTGTGTCATGTGTTCAGCTGGCAAGCAAACTTTCCTTCCACTACAAAGTAAGGAGTTGGTGCTGTTCTTTCCACTTTCACAGTGCTATGCTCTAAAATCTGGCCTTTTGTGGACAGCTAGATGTTACGAATAAAATAAGTTGTCCACAGTGCAGCTCTGAGAGACCTACCCCTACGTGGGTGATTCTACTCAAGTGGAAACTACAGAGTGCAATTACACTTCATAAGCAACCCTATTAAACACACACAGCTGTTATAACCAGCACTCTGTTATAACCAGCAACCTGTTGTCAAAGCACAATAGCTGGATTAATGCCATCATTATATATGTATACAGGTCACCTTTCCTCCCCTTTGGACTCAAGGACAGTTTGCATAAGGTGCATGAATAGTCAACATACTTTAATCATCATTAAGGGTCAGATTTATAAAAGGGAAAATATCCCTGGCTACTGGATTTGGGATTGGAGGATCTGAGTTCAAATTCCACCTCGTTGCTACCTCTGAACTCTGAGCCTCAGTTTCCTTATCTGTAAAATGGGGTTTTCCAGATCTAACTCTATATTATACTTGTTTCACTCCCCCCTCCCCCAAAGTTTGTGACAAAAATCCCAACTTATTAAATAGAGACTCTCTTCTCTGTCCCCTCCCCTTCTTTTCTTTATTCAGATAGTCAGCAATGTTACAGTCCTGAATTTCCTCCAGGCCCTAGGGTACCTTTATACTAAAGAAGAACTACTGGAGTCAGAACTTGCCATTTTGAAGTCTTTAAACTTCCAAATCAATCTGCCTACTCCTCTGGCATATGTGGAGATACTCCTGGAAGTTTTAGGTATCTCATTCAAAAGATATCTCAGTGGAAATTAGGCAAGCATTGTAGCCATTAAAGGCCAAGTGTAGCTTAAGACTCTTCTACTGGAGGCAATCAATGTGCTCCAGGGTTCTGGGCAACCTGTCAAAGAGGGAAAGAATAGCAGCAGTAGTCTGAAGTGCTCTGCCTAGTTGTTTGGCAGACTGGAGAGAGGGGTGTACTTGGTTAGCTTTGGAGAAGGCGTTCTGTCTTTTGGAAGGACATAAGAGAAGTCCCCATAGCCAGCTTCTGCTTGCTATCACAAGGCACCTCCTCAGAATGTTTTCTTTACAGAGGCAAAGGATGGGAGGGGAACAAAGAAATAAGGCTTCCATGGTTATTACTTTTTTGGTATTTATATAGTCTGTGCATTTTTTTCCTCTTCCACAATTTTACCTTTGAAATTGACCGTGATCTAATAAGATAGCCAATCCACTGAGCAACCCTACAGCAGAACATAGTTACCAAGAACAATGTTAGCCTAATAGGTATGTTCCATAGTCATGTGCAGAAAGTGGCCCATGTAATGTGACATGACCTTTTAAACGAACTACCTTGACTTACTAGGAATCTGACCATGTGCTTGGTCAGTTATTACCTTTGAGGGAGGGATGAAGGTAGAGTCTTCACACCTCTCCATGCCCCATCCAGGGTATAATGGCTGTTTGGTCTCAGTCAAACAGCTGCATGGAACCTGCCTGACATTACTTGACTTGGTCTATCTCCTGCATGAACCCATCTATGAAAGCCTGCTGAGGGCATCAATTGAGAACTCTACACCCATGGAGCAGGGGTAAGGCACCTCCTATATAAGATTTATAAATACTGGCAGCATTGTTTGACAAGGACCTGAGGAGTACATCAGACCTACTAGTTTGTCCCCTCACTTTAGTAGACGTAATTGTAGAGGATTCATTCTCATAAATGTGTAATTTATGAACTTACAACTTACTGTTTCTGATGTGGCAAGTTCAACCCAACCAAAACCCAAAAGACTTAAGATTTTAAATGAATTTATTTAATATTTAATGAATTTAAATATTAAATATTTAAATGAATTCAAGTAATTAACATCTCCTATTACCCCTCCTATTATTGCTTCTTGATCATAGGTTGGGATGCTTGGACTGTTTTCAGAAACTGGAAACAGACAAAACAAGCCAGTCATAAGGCTGCAGCTTTGACAAAACCTGATTACTGTAAAGGCAGATGAGAGAAAACCCCACAATTATGCTGTTAGGATAACAGATGGGAACACAAAAGACCAGTAAATCAAATACACATGAATGAGGCTCATGTTTTATCCTTAGTTTTTTTTGTTTTGTTTTTAGTTGGGAGGGAGCTATCTATGGGATAGCCAGCTGGTTCTATCATTTCTTTTCATATGAAAGTAATCAAGTAACAAATTTCCATGACCCAAGAACTTAGGCAAACAAAATTCTCATCTTTGTCATAAAACTCAACTGTGATTTTAACTGCTCAGGGGAAAATTTGTATCCATGAAAGAAGACTTCATGCTTTTGGCAGTTGGGATCATTGCAGCCAGTGCTTTCATCCAGAATCAAGAGTGGTGGGGCCAGGTATGCACTGCTAAGTGGCATCACTATCAGGATTCATTTAATAAAAAGCATTCCCCAATCAATTAAAGGGAAAGGGCAGATTTACGTTCACCAGAAACAAGTACCAAAGTCTAGCAAGAGAGAGATCAGCGAGCCAAGATAAATGGTTAAGGTTGCTCATTAAAGCATTTTCAGTTTCTTAACAAAGCAAAATTGAAAATGCTTTGAAAAGGTGTGTTCTCAGAACCAGCATAACCGTTGTACACAGTCACATTGTGGGATGACTAACTTTGATAGACTTAGCCCTTATCAGCAATGCAAGGATCTAAGAAATCTCCAAAGGATGGAAAATGCTATTCACATCCAAAGAACGAACTATGGAGTTTGAATGCAGATCGAAGCATAGTATTTGCTCTTTTTTTTCCTTCCGTTTTGTTTTCTCTTTCTTGTGCTTCCTCCTATTGGTTCTAATTCTTTCTTACAACATGACTAATGTGAAAATATGTTTAACAGGAATGTATATGTATAACGTATATCAGACTGCATGCTGTCTTGGGGAGGGAGAGAAAAGGCCAACTATCACCTGGGAGTCTACCTCTAAAATGGGGAGAATTTCAAGTAGGGAACATGTCCCTCATACTTCCTAAAATCTCCTTAAGTAAAAGTCAGTTGCACACTAGGCTGCAGTGCTGGGTGTTAAGAGCTATTCTCATACAGTTTAGCTCTGGTAAACATTTTAATTTGGATCCAATCTTCCTGTTAAATTCAGAGGAATAGGAAGATATAGTTAACATTTGACCCCAGAGGTTATCTAGAAAAATGTACATGTTTGTGTAATAAATCAGTCAAGATTTAGAAAACTAGCTGCTTGTATCTCTCCGTGAAGGTTGTGGAACACTTACACAGCATCACCGGTATCGCCACTGAGAACACTGCTGAGTTTTCATATGCAATCCTGACTCATGGGGTAGGAGCCAGCACCCCAGTTCGACAGCAACCTGGTCTGCACCACCTGGCAGCCAGACCACTGAGGACGGCTGCCACCTGCAACATGTGAGCCTGAGTTTCCAGAATATCATCAGACTCCAGGTCATGACCTTTCTTCACCCCCACCCCCCCACTCTATTTAATCTTGCATATAATCTAGTATAAAAAAAAATCAGAGGTATCTCAGGTCTTTCAAGTTTAATTTTATATTACCATTTTCTGTTTGCTGTTCTTCAGAGAAAGGGTTAAGGTGGATCTTTTATTCTTTGCAGCCTCAGTAAAAATAAAAGGGGGAAGAATGCTAAGTTGGAATGTTTGGTTTTACAGTACAGGCATGATTTCCTCTTTAAATGTGATTTTTTTTTTGTAAAATAAAAACTAAAACAGTAAGAGTAAGAGTAAGAAGAAAAAAAAAAGGACCAAAACCCAGGTAACCTTGACCTGGCATAACATTTCTTTTGTCCCAAATGCCCCTGTCCAAGTGCATTCTCATTCAAGGATAGGGCCTTTGCCCACTCCTTTGAAATGAGCAAACACCGGCTCTTCCAGAACTGGCTATTTTTAGTCTACTTTAAATAAATACTTTAAATCACATATCCCAACCTTTCTAACATAGTTACTTAAGTTTGATTTTTCCAGAATACAAAGTACTTTATTATAGAAGGGTTTTTTGTTGTTGTTTTACAACCAGTGCACCTCTGCATAGTAACAGACTGCAGCAAATCTTTATTGCGAAGAATTATCTTCATAATGTTCCAAACAGTATTAAAGTCTGTTCATGTCTTTTTTCTGCCATGTGTCTGTTGGCACAGAGCAGATCGGCAATAAGCACTAGACTTAAGAGAGAAAAGTGTTAAATTTCAAGCTTCTGATCACATTATGTGGCCTCCAGGCAAAGGTTATGTGACATTTTTCCATATTACTTGATGTTACACACATATGCACTCTTCTTAATAGAGAGGTGTTTATATAAAGAAACCATATTGAATACACATAAAATTAGGAGAGATAAAATCCACTGATAACCACTTTTATCTCAGACTTTTTATAAAAGCAACCTTATTTTCTGTTTTCAAGGAGTATAAAATTGTGAAATGGGCTGGTGGAGAAATATACACGTTTTGTTACTGCTCTGGACACTACTCACAATAGAATGTTATTCTTTTAAAATAAAGTGGTTTTGTGGATTTTCCTTTTTGGTACTGTAAACATGTTGTACTGTTTAATATTAAATGAACTTAATTTATAACATTTCTGCCAACAAAAAATATTCTAAAGCCATTAAGGCAGAAGTCTCCCTCACCCTCATGGAGAAAAAAAGAAGTCATTTGTTATAAAATTGTGAGGAGACCCAAGCAAGACCCCATTTCAGATTTGTCAACATAAACTTGAGTGCCTTTGTCCACTGCTCCTCAGAGTTGAACTGGGTTTTGATGGAATAGGAGCCGCCACTGCCTCCTGTGTCTTCAATCTTACCTTTCTCCACATCCATCCTGCAGCAGAGACACATCAGAGTTCATTTAGTAACTGAGAATTCAAGTCAGTTCAGGCAAACAGGCAGGGCCACGATCATGGGACCATTCACGTCATTTTCTCCATTAAAGCACTCTTGTCAGGGAAGGGTGGTGTACTTTGGATTTGCTCGAAAGCCAAATATCATGCTGGCTGTCACAAGTGCCCCATTGTCACTGCTGAGTTCAGAGACAGAACGTGGAAGCAAATGAAAGGATGGGAACAGGGAGCAGGTTGCAGTGGGGCGTGAGGGTTAGAGTGTCCCTCACTGATCTCTAAAGCATCCTTGCATTCATGGAGAAGAAAGGTAAGAAAGAAAAGAAAATGCTGTGTCTTTGTGGCCAGGAAAGACAGTTCTGTTCCACTGATGGAATAAATCTCCTGTCTGTTAACTAAGGGTGGGGCCAACATGAGATCAAAATGCTTATTTCCAGGAGCTTCTGGAAAAACCCTCTTGAAACTAGAGAAGCCAGAGCTCTGTGCCAAGATAATCCCCAAACTCATCTAGTATAACATTCTCTCTCCAGGGACTGGGGATCACATCTTACTCCATTCATAGGATCAAGGGACTTGAGCAAAAGATTCAGTGAGAGCAATACTCAAGTCCCTGACCATCAAAGCTACAAGATCTAGAACCAATTAACTGTTCTTCTTAGTCCTGACAAGTACTTGACACTGTTCTGACTACCTGGATTATGAACCCTTTCCAAGTCTGGTCAGTCTGGTGTCACTGCAGCCTCATCCTAAGCTGGAAGTACACTAACCTGTAAGGCAGACAGAAGCGTGTCTCGCCCTTCTCCACCTCTTCTTTGAATTGCTGCACACAATCCAGGAAAGCCACCATTGCATGATCAAACTTGTTGTCCCAGAAAAACCGCAAACCTCCAGAACAGTATAATGGTAGCTCCTGCTCAAGAAAAGAAGCACAGCAGCACACGTGGCACCAAAGCATCCCAAATGGCCTCAGGCCTGCTGATTCTTCAATCCATGCTCTATCTGAATCTCACTAAAAATAGGCAACCAAGTCCTGGTGGTTCTCTCTTGCCTTGTCGTGGAGCAGCTATGTTACTTTGCACACAGCCTAACTTCTCTGGGTTTGGTTTCTCCATTTAGAAAATAGGAATGAGAAAGATCTACCTCACAGATTCCTTCCTCAAGCCAATTTACACAACCCTCTCCAGCCATCCACCTAGGCATTCCAACCTCTCATTCAGAGTTTCTAGCAGATTTTGAAAAATGTTTCAAATCTTTCCTGTAGTTCCAAGGGGGGTGGATTTTAACTGCATCTTAGATATTCACATTTTAGAGATCATCTGAGGCTGGGACAGAAGCTGAAGTGCAATACTAGAACTAAATTCAGCTGTCTCATTAGAAAATATCAGAATTATTCTATAATACAGTTGAACTGGAGATACCCAGAGTACCTTGGATTTGTCTGTGAGAGACTCCAGATACGAGTGATTTCCATAAGGAACAAGGCGATACCTTAAAAAAAAAAGTAAAAGGATGGAAAATGGGGCTATTCAAGAAGACATTATTTTCTAAGAAAGATGAAGTCATGTAGTTTATCAATTATCCATGGATTCAATAGCCCCTTCTCTCTTTGGACAAAACCCTTTACAGAGTGAAAATGTCCAGGAATGAAGTGTAGTCTTCACCCAGAGGAAAATCTTAATCTGCTGAACAGAGCAGAGTGTTACTGAAAATGTGCTGCCAATCTAATGGAGTGACAAGAAGGAGCAGAACAAAAAAAAAAAAAAAAAAAGGGGG